GCTAGAACTCACAGTTACCTTCTCCTTATGTCCCTCAGCATCCATCTATAACGTGCCTTCCCTCCACATCTTGTGACAGGATCCCTTGAACAACACAACTGCTTCCTCAGCTGGAAACTTGGGTTCCCCTTTATGACAACAGATTCTGTACCCTTTCTGCCCTTCCTCGTGTGCAACCACTTGCTTGTAGGTGCTCTGACCTTCGTCCTGTGGCTTAAGCGCAAAGAGGCTGATGTAAGGACTCTCTGCCTTATGCATCTTTTCTTGTGCTGTTCTGTGCAGTCCAGTCTTCTCTCTCTCTCTCTCTCTCAGACATCTGTGGGGCACCTTCAGCTCCCTTCAGAGGGAAGCTGCAGGTACTGAATGCTTATCACCTGTCTCTCCCCTAGCTGCAAAGGCAGATCTGGTGTTTGTCAACAAGGAGAAGGTGCAGAAAGAGGTCAAGGCCGCCTTGTCAGAGAATGTTTCCTTCCAGTGTGAGGTTGCCCAGACCAAGACGGAAGTGCAGTGGCTTAAAGATGGGAAGCCGATCGCATCGAGCAACAAGTTCAAGGTGGAAACCGACGGCAAGAAGCGACGGCTGAGTGTCCAGCAGGTGGAGAGCAAGGATGCGGGCGAATACACCTGTGAGACGGCTGGCCAGAAACTGAACTTTAAACTCACTGTAGCAGGTACTGGTGGCTTATGTTTTGCTCTTTATAGCACATGTAGTTGGTCTATAAGCAGAATCAGAGGGACTCTGCCAAGGGAGATTAGTCCATTTCTCATCCTCCTCTGATCCCTGATCAATGGCTTAAACGTCTGCCAGTGAAAGTTTAGATATTGGGTGACTGTCAAATGATTGAGGCACATTTGTGCAAAGCCAGTTTCACCTGGTTTGGAAGCTGGGCATGAATTAGATTTCTGTACTGTTTACTACAGACCTCTTGCTCTCCTTGGGACTCTTATATCGTGTGCAAATTTCAGGGAAACGGCAGTAATGATGGACGCACTGACGGTTAGGATAGCTGTTGGCGATAAATAATGTTTTGTTATCGTATTTGTTCTTGTTTCTTCCTCGGCCTGGATTTGGATGATATTCAAGGTGCAGAAGCGGAGGAAGTGTTTGCCCACAAGGAGAAAATCCAGAAAGAGGTCAAGGCGGTCTCTTTGGAGAACGCTGTCCTCAGCTGCGAGGTGGCCCAAGACAAGACGGAAGTGAAGTGGTTCAAGGAGGGGAAACAGATCACATCCAGCAAAAAGTTCAAGGTCGAAGCCGAAGGCAAATCCCGGCGTCTGGTGGTTCAACAGGTGGAGAAAAAAGATGCGGGCGAATACACCTGCGAAGCGGCTGGACAGAAACTGACCTTCAACATCATTGTAAAAGGTACAAATGCTGTCTTATTTTCCATCCTCACTTACCCTATTTTGGTGCGGGGGTCAGACTGCATCAGATGCTTTATACTGTGGAAAAAGCAATATTTTTCTTTGCTAACTGGATAGATCAGCTGGAAGAACAGTGAACAGATGGATAAACATTGTGACAGTTCATGTTTTATAACTTAGCCAAGGTCTATATCAGAGGTGGGCCATTTCTATAGGGGAGGCCACATGAAAAATCTGAACTGTGTTCGGGGACTGAACCAACTTTACTTAAAAACAAAATGAAACAGTGATGTTATGATTATTTTTATTTCAAACTTGTTAATCTTTACAAATATTAAAGAGGTTTTTTGCGGTATGTTAAAGATAAGCAACTGATCAACTTTAGACAAAAAGCTATAAATGGTTTTGATGCTCAAAACTGTCTGCAGGTCAGACAGGAGCGGGCCGTATGTGGCCCTCGGGCCGCACTTTGCCCAGATTTGGTCTATATGAAAGAAATCATGGGTTTTTGTGTAGAAGACAGCCCATACAATGGGCTATTTTCCTCTTCTGCTCCCTAACAAGTTCCTGACTTCTGGAAATCTTAAAAGGCCGCTTATTTGGGGGAAATTGCATCCGTGCAAGAGTAAGCGTCCTGAATTGTCATCGCCTATATTCGCCACATGAATGTTTCGTTTGTTTTATTATCCCCACTGTCGTTCATGGTGCAGAAGCGGAGGAAGTGTTTGCCCACAAGGAGAAAATCCAGAAAGAGGTCAAGGTGGTCCCTTCAGAGAATGCCGTCCTCAGCTGCGAGGTGGCCCAAGACAAGACGGAAGTGAAGTGGTTCAAGGAAGGGAAACAGATCACATCCAGCAAGAAGCTCAAGGTCGAAGCCGAAGGCAAATCCCGGCGTCTGGTGGTTCAACAGGTGGAGAAAAAAGATGCGGGCGAATACACCTGCGAGGCGGCTGGCCAGAAACTGGCCTTCAAAGTCAGCGTTGCAGAAGGAAAAGGTTTGTGTATTCTTTTTTACATGCTACGGTATGTTTGCGCCTGCCTTTTCTAATGAACAAAGACCACCCCCCTCCTTCACCCCTTTCTTTTGGTTCCTCCTGTTGCTGTTGTTTTACCCTTCTTGCTATTTGCCCTGATTCCCTGAAAATAAGCCCTAGGAAACTGCCCTCAGAATTGTTTTAGAGGGCTCGGCATTGGTCATGGGTCACCTGTCATTCAGAATTGTACTCAGAATTCTTTAATGCTAGGTGATTTTTTTTTCTCCAGGCTCTGGCGGGTAGATCTTTGGGTCCAATTAAAAAAAAACACACAAAGTAGAACCTAAATACTTGATATCTTCTCACCTATGTGCTATGCTCTGTACAGTTAAAGTATTCATGACGGGACACAGTCAACAAGAGGAGTCTGGACACAGAGGATGGTCAGGCGGCTGTCTTCTTAAAGCCCCGGCGGTGGCCCCCCTTCCAATTTTCTGTGTGTGCTGTGTTGCAATATGAATTGGGAGAGTTGATTTTTAGAAGGTTGAAAGGAGAGAACTAGCACTCTGAGGGGGTTTGGTGGACGACTCTACGTCCTGAGTCATCATCGACCGTGGATGAATGGTAAGCCAGAACTGCCTTAACAGGGGAGTTAAATGTATGCAACTCTGCTTCTTCTCTCCTTCTCCAGTTGCTGAAGTGGAGGAAGTCTTTGCCCACCAGGAGAAAATCCAGAAAGAGGTCAAGGCGGTCTCTTCGAAGAACGCCGTCCTCAGCTGCGAGGTGGCCCAGGCAAAGACGGAAGTGAAGTGGTTCAAGGAGGGGAAACAGATCACATCCAGCAAGAAATTCAAGGTAGAAGCCGAAGGCAAATCCCGGCGGCTGGTGGTTCAACAGGTGGAGAAAAAAGATGCGGGCGAATACACCTGCGAAGCTGCAGGTCAAAAACTGGCCTTCAAAGTCATTGTAGCAGGTAAAAGCGCCATTTTATTTCACTTTCTATCATTCTGTCTTTGAAAGGTGGCATCGGGGAATCTCTGCTAGAGCAAAATCTCCCTCTTCCCAGTTCTGATTGTATAAATCAGTGCCAGAACCACTAACAGTGGGCAAAATGGCATCCGTGTTAGTCGAGTCCACACTATGATAGTGGTCTGTGCCTGAAACATTATTATTTTGCTTGTTTTATTATCCCCGCTCTCGTTCATGGTGCAGAAGCAGAGGAGGTCTTTGCCCACAAGGAGAAAATCCAGAAAGAGGTCAAGGTGGTCCCTTCGGAGAGCGCCGTCCTCAGCTGCGAGGTGGCCCAAGACAAGACGGAAGTGAAGTGGTTCAAGGAGGGGAAACAGATCACATCCAGCAAGAAGCTCAAGGTCGAAGCCGAAGGCAAATCCCGGCGTCTGGTGGTTCAAGAGGTGGAGAAGAAAGATGCAGGCGAATACACCTGCGAAGCTGCAGGTCAAAAACTGGCCTTCAAAGTCATTGTAGCAGGTAAAAGCGCCATTTTATTTCACTTTCTATCATTCTGTCTTTGAAAGGTGGCATCGGGGAATCTCTGCTAGAGCAAAATCTCCCTCTTCCCAGTTCTGATTGTATAAATCAGTGCCAGAACCACTAACAGTGGGCAAAATGGCATCCGTGTTAGTCGAGTCCACACTATGATAGTGGTCTGTGCCTGAAACATTATTATTTTGCTTGTTTTATTATCCCCGCTCTCGTTCATGGTGCAGAAGCAGAGGAGGTCTTTGCCCACAAGGAGAAAATCCAGAAAGAGGTCAAGGTGGT